TCATGGGGTCACGAAGAGTCGGACACGACTTAACGACTGAACCACAACAACAGAATTTATTATATAATTTATATTTTTACCCATAAAACTAAAGTACAGAGGTACTATAAACCTTCTCCATTCCATTCCTACACAAAAGAGATTCAACTCTGCAGTGCTGCCTCTTGATTTACCATCATTTGGATAAAGGAACAGAACTTAATTTTGCCTTCTTATTTACATATCAGTGTGACTTTTCCCTTCATTTTATTTCTTCATTATGAATTCACATCTCAGAAGCTCATAACGATCTCTCCAAAGACAATCAAAATTCCTAAGAACACCAATGTCTTTTGTCTTCACTCAACCTCAACCTTGATTTAATCCGTTTTTTTAAATCTTTAACGAAGTTATGGGATTTGCTAAGTGAGTGAGGTATATCAAACAATGTATTTACAAAGGAGAGAGAAAAAAAGGAAACAACCAGGAAGGGGTTGCACATAAGTACATGGAACACACACTCATGTGAAAATAAAGATGTCTATGTTTATATTTTGCAAGGAAAAGTTGTTTTTGGAGACATGATTTGAAGACTCGGCAGGAAATTTGTGTTAAACAATTTTCCTGCCAGCCATTTTGCTAAACCTTTCTCCCAAATTGTCATTCCCCCTCTGGGGATCCAACTGTATGCTTGAAATGGTAATTGTAAGTTTTCATTCTGTAAAGCAACGAGAGGCCACAGAGCCTTCAAGTGAAGCTAGGAAATTCTGTTAACTATTCTCCCAATTAAATAAAACAAGAAGAAGGGAAGTGGAGCTTATCCATCATTTAGCCAAATGTGGCAGACATGTCAGATTGCTGATCAGGGATGTCATGAATGGACTGGTAAACGTTGGGTCATGTAATTTAATGTTGTATTTTTATTTTTGGTGGGCGGGGGGAGCACCTGTTTGATTTTAAGTGCCAGGTAACTTATAACAATAACTTGGCAATTTTAGGCACAATGTACTATGAATTGATTTGTTCTTTGGAGATGCTGGAACATTTCAATACAATTTCAGCCTGGCTATACACTTATTCTACACGCCAGTGCAAACTTGATCTACAAGTAGAACTCAAAAAAGGTTTCTCCCTTCCTAAAAGATGCATTACAGAAAAGCAAGCCACGCTTCCCACTCATTCAAATGGGACTGATCAATTCTGCAAAGCTAAACGGAAGCTAAGCATTCTGCAAGCTTGTGCATTCGTCCACGGCAGTGAATGCTTTGGTTCCATTTATGAAAATAGCATTTTAAAGTCAATAATGTAGCTAGTATGAGTAGTGTGCTCATTTTTGGTGATAGCATGCCAATAACAGATCACGTACTTTCCCATTCATTTCATCATTTTTTGTTGGGATTAATGTTACAGAGATGGAGAGTGACCTCTAGTGGTGTCTGGTCTCCCCTGCCAAGAAAGCTAACCTGCACACATTGGTGTATCAACTGGGAAAAATGGGAAGTGAAGTGGCTGTGGAAATACCTGGAAACAGCCTTTTAAACAGCAGCTGGAGTCTGGAAAAAAGGCACAGCTGCTGTAATAATTCAAAAAGAGGTGCTTTGTCTGTGTCGAATGTTCCAAAGCACCTCTTTTAAAGGATTTGCAAAGACCTAGTAGATAATTCCCAATAATCAAGCCTTTCAAAATTTCTTTTACAAGGGCTTTGCAAAAATACATAGCATTTTTCAAAGGCTGCACTAGCAATGGCATTGTAGAAGGTTTATTACATAAAAAACAGGAAAGGACCTCAGCCACAAAACTAAAACCACCTCAAGATACAACGTACTTTTTAATATATAATTCATTAAGTCATTTATCCGTTGTGTTTTTAATCTATTCAAAAACACATGTTTTCTGAGCAGATATTAAAATAATTGCAAACTGCCTGCTTTTAATTTTTTATCTGCATAGCTTGTGTTGCTTCTTTTCAGCCATTTTCTATTTTGTTATCAGTTTACAGCAAGCACATTTGTAAATACATTGCTCTACTGTACCAGCTCTGTTTTAGATACTTCCTTAGCTAAACAGAGAACTGCTCTGAGCTGAATTTGGGATGTTTAAATTCAGGTCTCCATTTGCTGTCACCGATGCAAAGCACATGTTGGCCTTGGGCTGTCACTCCACTGTTTTTGCTACTTTCATATATTAGAAAAACCAGCTCACATTTAGCTGATCATCAAGCTGTTCTGAGCTAAATCTGGGACAGCAGAAAGGACTGGATACATCACAAGCCACCGTAAAGATCAAGCAACTCTCCTTTTAGGGGAAGTGATTCTCCTTACTAATTTTCGACATGTAAGTCAGAGACAACGAAGCTGGATAAGAGCTTGGATGAGTTCACACAATGCAGAATTCTCATGCAGAAGCAATATTTAGAAGATCCGCATAGAATCCTACCCATATTTTAAAAATGCTATAGAGAGATAGCAGGGCAGAATAGTCTCTGCTTGGAGTTTTCACAAATGGTGCCTCTGAAGAAATGTCATTCAGAGACCTTAAATATATCTAAAGTGTTTGAATAGGGAATAGGATAGTTCCCCACCCCCACCCCTGGAACAGATCTTTTTCTTTGTGAGCAGCTGCATTCAAACTAGACTAGAAAATTGAAAACAAAAATATATGTAGGAAAACTATGATAACAGTTAAAATATCCAATCAGAGGGGAGTACAAATGAAAAAAGGCGACTCAGTGAAGAGAATTAGAATGTCTGAAATCTGTTTCTGTTATCATCACAGCAGGTTACGATATTCTCACAATACCGGCAATACATTGATTTTTTTTTTGGTCTGCGCTCAGTCATTGCTGACCCTGCAGTGACTGCTTGGACGAGTCC